ACGGGCACGGGCACAGGCTATGCTTATGCACAGCTTCAGTTCGATTCAGAGTGTCCTTAATAAAGTGTCGACATGTGTAATTTGTGCGGCCCCCGAACTTTGTCTTCGAGCTTACGAGCCGGGCCTGTGGTTTTTCGTTTTCCATTTTTGGGCTTGAGGGTTCGCGACCCATCGGATAATATTAATAAATTATGAGCAGCGTTTTTGATTTCGGTTTTGTGTTCTTGTTTTAGTTGCTGTTTTGGTCAACCGCGTTTAACACTTTGTCGCCTCGCATTGAACCCTGGGCACAGCGGGTTCAAGTCCTGCATATTGTGCTGCTGTTGCCGCTTCCTGCGCCAAATTGCCTGTTATGACTGGATGTTGTTGTTGTGCTCGTTGTCGTCTTCTTGACTTTGTGCTCGTTCCGGTCGCGTTATTGAATATCAATTTTTTGAAAATTTATACAATGCTCGAATGCATGTTTTGTTGTCAGCACGGGCTGTTTCCTGTTGTCCTTGCCAGTTGTGCTCAAGTGCGACACAGCGGCGCCCCCAAGGACATGCCAGACATCAGGCAAGGCATGGCAGCAGGAAGAACAACATGCACACACAAGCAACATAACAGCAGGCTGGAAGACAGGCCCATCCTCTCCTGCACACATCCTGCGTCCCGAAAATCAACCCTTAGGACAATCAAATTGCACATTGGGAATGTCCGCTCAATGCTTTAGATCTTTTGCCCTTCGGTCTCTGCTGCTTCTGCCAACCGCCCGCCCGCCAGCCTGTCTGTCTGCCTATTTTGACTTTAACAACGTCAGCAACACCCCCAAAAACACACACTCACACACACACACGTACACACAGTCGAAGCTATCATTAACGCTGTCGAGGGTTGTCTATGGCTTTGGCTCTGACTCTGACTCTGGCTCTGGCTCTGGTGGATGATGAATATGTGGAGAAGCCTCAAGCTGAACTCTCTGCGGATAAAGTTTTTAGCGTACACTGGGATTCAAACTTTCAGAGCAACTTGTTGTGTGTAGCTTCTTCTTATTATTTTCTTCTCTCATTTTATGTGTGCTTAGAGTTTTCATAGAATGAAAATTTTATGACCACATTGTCTGGCATAAAGATATTTTATCATAATTGCTTCGAAAAACGTTCGTGCGACTTCTAAAACTGTCTCAGCTTGTGCCATTAACACTTTTTTAGCTAACTGTCACACGTTATTTTAATGTATCTTTAATGTTCTTATTTTCCTTGGAATATCTGAAGTATTGTGAAGCACATAAATTCGTTTGCCACGGCTAATATAATGAGCGATGTTCACAGAAGTCTGAGAGTAGCTGCTCGAGATTTGAAAATGATTACAAGAATTCAATTATTTTTTCCAGTGAATGAAATCATTTCATTAAAATTTAGTTAACAAAATGGCAATTGAAAACCTGCAAATTTAAAGAATGTAATATATTTTTATAAAATATTTATTACTTACAATTTATATATATTATTTAAATTTATATCTCAACAAATTTTAGCATAAATATTGTGATAGTTTCTTGCTGCCGCCACATTGTAAACATTCTTTCTGATACTCTTTAAATTGATTAATGCCCCTCACAATTTATTGAGGCAATTTTCCGTTTAATATTTTCAACACTTATCTGACGCATCTCGTGTCAGTGTGCGTTCGCCTTTGCTTTGTTTCATTCTCAGCATTGACTCTCGACTTTAGTCATAATAATTTGCAGGCTGCCCATCATCAACACGCCCCCAATATTCCAACTAGCAGCCTTCGGTCCATCCTGCCTCCCTCTCACCTGCTCCCGTCTCGCCGTGGCTTGCCGGGCATAAAATTTATTTATAATAAATTAAAAACTCCTTAAATGCTGTTCATACTTGCAGCTAGCTGCCATTTTTTATTTTATTTGTAGCCGGCAGCCAAAAAGAAGGAAAATATTTTGTTGCAGTGCTCGGCGACGCCAGTGTCAGGGCGTAAGGAAATGGGCGTGGCAACTGGCAGCGGACAACGGGCAACGGGCCCCAGTTTAGTCGCTTGGCGTTTTAGTTGTTGCTGTTGTTCGTCCACGCGGCCGGCATGAAAACTTATGTCGGCGGCCTTTGGGCGCAATTATTTATACATGCCTCATAAAAATCGAAAACAATGGCCAGCCTAGAGACGACAGAGAAGTTAACAGCGGGTGTGAGCAGAGAGCGCAGAGATGCGGGTACAGGCCCAGACGAAGGCCTAACAATGCAATGTGCAAGTCCCAAGGCTTTTGTTGTGGTCAGTGTGTTAGTTGTTATTGTAGTTGTTGTTGTGGCCATTGTAACTCCTTTGGGCCACGTTGTCTTTTGGGCTTTTTTTCTAACTGTTGCCGCACGAAGTTGTATGCCACAAGCTCTAGTGCTTTAATTGGCCATAGAAGAGGCGTCTGTTTGTCTTACGGAGTTCATTAAAGGTACCTCAACAAGCCCAATGGAAAAGCTAGTATAACTTTTGTACAACTTGGCAGCTGTTGCAACCCTGAATACCCTGCACTACCCACACAATTCATCAGTCTGTCAGCTCTGTTCGGGCCCTTGCCGGGCAATGAATGCAATTTAATGATATTATGATTAAGATTATTTTGGATGCCAACCCCGCGGTCACAACCTTGAACTCCAAATAGACATTGGGAAAGAAACCCTGTAAAACAACCCCGCAAATTGCATTGTGAAGTGCGGCAACGACGCATGTTAAGGTAGTGTGTAAACCACAAGAGATTTGAATTTTAGATATAGCCATACACACACACACACACACACACACTCACTCGCTCACGCACACACGCTCAGAGAGAAAGGCAAACAAACATTGCAAAAATTCTTGACTGGCAACGGCGAATACGAAATGTATCTGCATCTGATGCAGATCTCTCGACACATCTGCAAATGTTTGCCTCACGCATCTCTCCGCAACAGACTCAACTCGACGCGAACCGACGTTGTACTCATTTCACATGCAGCCAAAGCCCCATGGCAGCTGGGAGGCAAGGGACACTGTCTGCCTGTCTGTGGATGGTCTAAAGCCAAGGCCAAAATGAAAAACAAAAACTAAGCAGTTAGTGGGGAGGAGCTGCAGCAGTTCTGTCAAAGAGCAACCCCAAAATTGTATGGCTTCGGCCTGCGCATTATTTGAAGTTCCCATTAAAAATTTGAAAGGCGCTTCCCGCTGATCCTGGCCTGAATGGATACTGGCCCTGGTACCGCGCTGTCCTCTTCACTCGGGGCAATCATCGTTAGGTTAGCGGCGCAAATTGGGTTTTTTTTGTTCGACTTGCAGAGGGGGGAAACACGCCGTCAGCGTCGCCTTAAACGCGTTTTATCTGGCGCGAGCTCAGGCCCCAAATAAGCGAAAACAACAACAGCAGCCGGCTACAAATTTTATATAATGATGTTAATGATAAGCAGGCAGCCAGCCAGTCAGCCAGCCCAGAAGGATGAGGCAATGGCACAGGACGACTTGGCAATATTTACGCATATTTGTGGCACATGCAATAACATAAAAAACAAAAACGAGAAAGTTGGAATATTTTCGGCTCGCGGAAGAATTAATACCCTTGTCTTACGGCTTTGCAGATATCTAAGAATAATGAAACTCGTAAATGGCAATCTGGTTAAGATATCTTTAAAAACAAAAAGTTGTCAATACAAGAACTTACTTTTCATCCAATCGTTCCAATATGCGATATATCCTTCTCCTCCTAGAATGGAATATGGAGAATTTAATACCCTAGTAGATATATGGTTTACGGGCTTGCAGATATGTTGGGGAGAATTGTTAAGCATGAAAGTTTGTTGAAGAACTCTCACCCCATAGCAAACTTTTTAAATGCCACGTAATATTTAAAATAATATAGACCGATTATTCCAATTGATATCAGTAGCCTATGCAAGTGTCACACATTTCATGCGTAAATAATAATACCCTTTACAAGGGTATAAAGAGAATAAAACTTTTCACTTGCTTGGCAAGAGGCGGAACTTCGGCAACAGCGGAAGCGCCTTCAAATTGCCTGCAGTTTCGGGCCAAAGTAGCTAAAATAAAAATTATACTCCAAGACGAAATGCGAATTTGAACTTGAATTAAGAAGAAAGCATATAATAAAACTCTGATTTAATACGAAAACAGATTTTAGCGGTCCCCCCACACGGACTTTGACCAAAGAACTTGGTAAATTGATCAATATTATTATTTGCATATTGATATGCAATTTTAATACATTATGGACTTTAGATAAAATATCAAATTATTTTATTCATAAAATAAATAAATATATCTGTAAAGATTGTTCATCTAGTTTATGGTATACAAAAGCTTGGCTTGTATTTATGAATTAATATATTTAAGGTTATTCATAATAATTAAAAAAGGTAATTTAAAGCAAATAGCTTATTGACGTAATTTAAAGCAATGTTTATTAAATAGATGATAAAACCGTTTCTATATTTGCGAATGACTAGATGGTACCCTGTGCTCCCTAAAAACTTATTTAAACTTATAACAGATATTAAAAATATTCCAGCATTAGAGAGAAAAGTGTGGCCGAAGACTCAATAAAAGGCAGAAAAGAGAGAGAGAGGGAGAGAAAAAGAAAGCCCAATAGAAGGAGAAAAAAGTTCAAAATAGAGAGGATATCTTTTAGTTTAAATTTGCTTTAAGCCCCATTTCATCATTTTATGCATGGATGAAGAAAAACTCAATAATATACAAATTTTAATTTGCTTTTTATGACAAATAAATAATTAAAAGTTGCCCTGCGGCAATTATATATCCCACAGTCAAATCTATTATTCTCTCTGTCTCCCTCTCTCTCTGTCTACTTGTGTCTCTTTTCCTCCCGCTGTTAATCTAGGTATGCCATCAATCCTTAAATATAAGTCTAATTAATTACGCACCAAAGAAAATTAATTTCCGTTGCGCCGCTTCAGTTACTCATTTCAATTTTCCATTTCCATTCAATTGGGTTTTCTTTACAGGATCTGCATGATTGCGGCGCACCATGTCACGCCATGTTCTTTCCGGAACGGGAACGAACGGTGCTTCGCTATTGGGTCGGCTCCTGGGCGGCTATCTGTGTGGCCAGTTGTCTCTTTACGGTAAGTGCGAATCCCTTTTTTGTTCTTTTCAATATTAATGCACGCTCGTCTGTGCCACAATGTTAGGCACTCAATTTTCAATTTGATGGCGATAAATCATAAGCAAGACTGAAATGCAGTCTTCGCACCGGCACCCATCCCTAAACCCAGTCGTATACCTAAGCTTATTCTGGCTGCCGTTTGCCAAGGTTTTCATCTGAGTGCTGCCATATTTTCCTTGGCATAAGAACATGCCTTAGGGGGAGCAAGAGCGAACAGCTTGATGCCGGCGTTTGCATATCCTTACCCAGACAAAGATCCTGCCACCGCCCCGCCCGCCTGCTCCTGCACCGAGTCTATTATGATGCTGCGGAGACGACGTTGGCACTTTGGCAAATCCCACGCATTGACATATTACCTGTCAGCGCATATTTTTCAATAAACTTGGCAAAACATATGCGGAGCCCCCTTCTTTGCTTTGTATATAGTTGAATAACTTCTGTTCCACGCACTCCCTCGCTCCTCGCTATATTCCTTCGGTCCCGTTCCGATGGTTGTTTGGTTAGCCCGCCGCCCATCCAGGTGGGCGTGTAGTTTACCTTTCGGCTTGTTTGTCGTCGTCGGTTGCATAAAACATGATTGCCAGTTGCTGGCATTGAGACTGCTTGAGACAAACACAGCCAAGCTTAAACATTGTGGTTCAAAATGCACTTATTGCATAAGTCTCACATAGATGGATAGGTCTAAGGATGGAAGGGTGAGCTTGCAAGGGCACGGCATGTTCTTATTTAATACATAGTATAGAAAGATATGCTGGATTATAAATATTGTGAAATTTAAAACTGTTTTTAAAACCATTAAGCTAATATTCATTTATTTTTGGCTATCACCAAAAACCCACAAAAGGCAAAAAAATGTGTAGGTATTCAGACATAAATCATCTTTTAATATTGCCCATCGTATAAATTATTGTAAATTTACACATTGGCCTACCCTTTTCAATCCATTTACTCTTTCCACATATGTAAATTAACGCCATACTTAAACCTCAAATTCAATTTGTTACCTTTTGGGTGTAGCAAACTCTTGCTTGATGCGCAAGTTTTTATTTTAACATATCCATCATCTATCAAGGAACAAAAAAATAAACAAACTAACTAAACCCAAAGCCAACAAGAAAATTTGAATAAAATATCTATTTAGCTGTAGAAAATGCTCTTAGCTGGGCGTAAAGGAAAATAAAAATAATATCCTAGGCAGTCAGTGGGTCGAAATGTTTTGGCGACGGGTGGATGGGGGGCGAGGGTACACGTCTATCAAATATTTTAGTCAGCAGCACAAATTTGTCCGATCTCTAATGGGTAACGGGAGGGGTGGGGAGGTTGGGAGTCAAGTTACAATTGAAACTGCGGGTGGGTTGCTTGCAGCATGTCATAAAGTTGAGCTACATCCATCACACACACACACGCACACACACACACAAGCACATACACACACCAGAAGAGGGGCGGGAGGAGCTTGTGCGAGAACATTGTCACTTTCAGTGCGACGAATTTTGCATAGTTGCTGCTGCTGCTTGTTTTTCCTCGAGTTTTCTTTTGCTTTTGTAATAAATTTCGCCTTGCATGTCATTTGTCCCGCATTGTCAGAGGCAGACTGTCTCTGCTTGTGGGCGTGGCAACGCATATCACAGCGCAAATTATTATTTTGTTGCCTATTTCCACTTAGTTTTCCCGACTTCATTTTCCCGCTCTATACATACACATATTTTTTTTATGATAATGATTATGTTTTCTGAGCGCTCATTTTGCATTTTGCATTTGGGGAAGCAGCTGCTTTCACTTTCGCCCCGCACTAGCTACACAGATTTGCTGTTGCAGTGGGCCGTCGTCTGTTCCGCCCACTTGACATTTTCATTTTCCATTCTCAGCATTGATGATGATGGAAATGTTTTGTGTGTGCGTGTGTTGGTGTCTGTTGCTGTTGTGCTTTTTATGCATATGATAATACATGAAATTTAGATGATATCCGATTGTTTGTTGAATGAATTTCTTGTATAACTAACGAGAGTTAATATTAGCGCAAAGCTTTACGCAGGACAAATAAAACTGAAATCATACGCATTTGGCTAAATATTAATATACATTCATGGATTGTGAGTTTACTTAAACTGAACTCACAAATTTAATTATTTAAGTGTTGTCCTTCTAACAAAACCTACAAATAAAGAAAATAACAACTATTCCCTGGGAAATGAAGTTAAAAAGAAATCAATTACATGTATAGCTCTGAAAGGCTTTGCTTGAACTAAACTCACTTGAGGTCTAGGATTTACATTTTCAATCAGCACACAATAAAGAAACACCTGCCGGGTGCATTAGGTAATTGCACTAAAATCATTCAAATAAATATTAATTGATGAATAATAAAATAGAATTGATTTATTTAAAATTTAAAATTTTGTTGTTAAAGATCAAATCATTCACAGAACTCAACAAAATAAGTTGTTTGTTTAAAATACTTTAGCTTATAGATTGGTTGACGGGTTCAGGGCATAAAGATATTGTACATAAAGAAAACTTTGTGATACTTTGACTGTAATTGAAATGTGGTCTTTGCAATTGTGAAATGGCAAAGTTACAGGTGACAGTTCCTCAGGGCTTAGTGTGCAAAGCAGAGAGTATCAACTAAAATATAAACAAACACATTTATTTCAATTTCGCAACGCAAGTCAAACTAAAACCAAACAAATATTTTTTACCAGCTCTTCTGACTGCGAACTTTGCCGTTGACTTTGCTGTCAACTGACAGATAAAATGCCGTGGAATCCGAGGCTCGAGTTAACGCCTGGAGACAACGACAACGCGACTATGAGAGACAACTGTCAACAATCAACACCTTTTTCATTAAACGCATTAGATGAGAATGAGATGAGAATGAGCTGGGAACGAGATGAGAGACGTCAGACATGACATTTGTTTTACAATGAAAGCGAAAAGGAAATGACTGGGGCTGTAATGGGCTCTCAATGGGTTGCCAATGGGAACGACTATGCAGCCTAGTGGAATAGTGTGACATACACGTAACACTGGGCCTGGGCGGGCACAGACGTGTGAGTGGGAGCTTTGATAATGTTGACAACAAATAAGCGAGCGGGTTTGTTGGTTGCCACGGAGGGTGGTAGTCAGTCAGTCAGTCAGTCAGCGTGTTGTTGACTTTGATGACTTTTCTTAATTACAAAACCTGAAACAGAAGCTCAGTGAGGTGCATGTTGACTCACTGACAGACAGGCCGACAGACAGCTGAATAATCGGACAGGATGTGCGCAAATATTCCGTGTCATGCTGACAACGGAAACTGCAGGACCAGGACCCGAGCGATAGTTGGGCAAAGTTTTACAAAAAGCCTCGTGGAACCTAAAAAGTTTCGAATACTCGTACATTTGGTTTGACATGTTGTTTGACTGGCGGCTCTTCATTTGAATAAATATGAACAACTTATGAATATTTGTTAAATATGCACATTTAAACGACAGCATAAGCAATATTTTGTTTTTTAATCATTTAAATGCCCGACAACCCAAAGCCATGAATTGTGTCCAATATATTCAGAAAAAACTAAATACAAAACGCAGCAAAGCCGTAAACATTTACCACAATTTATGCCGCAATTATTCTTCCGTTTTTTTTTTTTTTTTTTTTTAACAAGTTCACAAAAAACCTGTGCGAAGTTTTATGCTAATCATAGGCGCTGAAATAGATGACGACGACAAAAACACCCCTAACTAAAACTAAAGACCCCTCCCCCTATTATTATAGTCTCTTTGGTAGTATGCAAATGACGTCGTTATTTAGTTTGAATTTTAAAATGAAACCAAAATGTTAGAGTATGGAAAAAAAATTAATTTAATTTATGCAAAACTCTAAACTGGCAAACGCTAGACAAAGCTACGCGTGCTTAAAGTGAGAGGCAAGTTGGTTGGGGTTGCGTTCGCTTTGGTTTTCGAATGCTTTTAATGACTAGTTTTCGAAATTTATGAGCCGCAGCGGCGTTGAAATTGAAATTAAACATTAGATTCAACCATTTCAGAGGTGTGCTCACACTTCGTGTGGGATGATCGTGAGCTTATCTTCGAGGAGGTGAATGCCAACGTAGATGTCATTTAAAATCTGCAAGTTACAAAATTATGAATATAACAATTAAGAAAAGAACTTACTTAGATACGAAACAAAAGATGCATTCCACTGAGCACAATTAAATATGGTAGAGAGAAACCTTTCATTATCGTAATTTCTCAGCTTACGCTGCCTTAAGCACCCGGTTTTTTGCTTATATCATCGGCAGTTTCTGGAGCTAGCTAAATGTTAGCCGGAAACTGACTAACTACGCCCCGTGTTTATCTAAGCGCTGCCCACGCCCATCATGACGATGAGATGACAACAAAACCAAGCTAAAGCTCGAGTAACGCATAATTTTTGACTTAACCAGGGGCAGAGACAGTGCGGGTCTTGGAATTGCCATTGAAGTTGGAGTCGAGAGGGGAGCTCTAGCTCTCATGAATGTTTGCGACTGTTGTTGATTGCCTTTGCTTTGGCTTATTTCACTTCATTTGTAGCTACATTTTCCGCAGTCACACCTACAAACAGCCACGCCCAACGCCCCTCACGAGAAGTGAGCAGCATGCGTGGCATAACAAATTGCTGGCAAAGTGTATGTGGGGGAAGGTATATACATTTATATATAAGTATTATCTTGAAATGTCAGAGTGAGCATTTAAAATAGACGTCGCGCACTCTGTGTGCGAGTACGCAGGTTGGTAACCCTTGCCTTTTGCAGGACCCGTCCGCAATCCTTTTCCCAAATTGTTTGGCATAAATAAACAATTCAATTCAATTTTGTTTTCTTTTTTTCTTCTGTGTTTTTTATATACCTTCTGCTTCTCGTTGTATGTCAACAAATGCGTTACAAAAACTCCTCCACACACGCCCAAAATCTCAGGCATAAATTTTGCATGTAAATGAGCTAGACGATAAAGTGTAGGCGGGAATTAGACCTAGGCATAGAAGAACTATAAATTAGGAGTCAGAAGTGTTACTTAACGAACAGTATGACCAAACTTCACGATACCCTGTAAATGTAGAGTATGAAAACAAGGAAATTGTTACGCAAAATGGGTACGCAAAATCCATCCAGGTTTATAATTTTCATTGATAAACCCAAAGATTTCATGAAAGGATTTAAAAGTAGGTGTTACAAGCGCTTCCTTTTTCTTATCTTCTAGTTGAAAGATAAAGATCCTTTTTATTCAAATTCGGATTTAGTTGAGAGAAAGAGGTAGAATATTCGTCTGGTTAAACTTTTGCTTTAGTAGATATATTGCCAAAATAATTGTAAGTGGGTATATTTAAGCGCTACAATTCAAAGTATATATTCCATATACCTCATATACCCTACAAGTTCAACACATGGTGAAGTCCGTACGAATGTCTACTTGCGCCTTGCGACAATTGGGTCGTGTGTTACATCTATGAATAATTCAAATGTTTCTCGGTCTTAATAATAATAATAGCAGCAAATTATGCAATAGAAACAACTGCGGCTCCACACTCCTTAGCAAGAGCCCCACTGATAGTTTTGTAATGATCAAATTAAATGGCTTTGCTTAGAGCTGGGCTGGGCTGGTAAGCGGCAAGAAGCAAGATGCATGAGACAAAAGACCCAAGACTCAGCCAAGGCTTAGTCCATGGGTAATGAATTCATTTAAATTGTGCGTAATTAGCAGGCAAAAGCCAGAGCTTGAGTCTTGGGATTGGTCTGGGAATTGCAGTTTTAGTTGATGTGGGCTTATGTGCTGAATTGGTTTGTCTGGACTGGGTGGGCGGTCTTTTGGCAGATTGAGTTGCCTTTGCGGCTCGTCAAAGTGGTTGACTGTGGCGTCATGTAGGCCCAGAAGCCATTTAATTGGAAATTGCCTTTAAAGCCTTACGAATTGTCAGGCTGTTTGTGTGCACATAATACTGCGTATGGCTACAAGCGAACAACTCAGCTCGATGGGAAATTGAGCCCTTTAGCATTATTAAATATATAATGCTCTGGCACTTAACTACAGCAGACGCAGGCAAGTCGCGCCCTAAATGCTTGGTTGCCAAGGACTCTGCGGTTCTGGTACTCTCATTAAGGCCAGCTCGCTTAGCCAGAAACATGCTACAAATGAGCTCAGATCAAATAAATTGCACAACAATCAGCTAATGTGTAGTGCCTAATGACCGGGTCCCGACTCTCGAGTCCCGTGTCCCGTGTCCCGTATCCCGTATCGGAATCCTCAGCTTCAGCTGGCCTCCTCTCCGCCTAATGCATTTTAAAGCCAGTCGGCAATGAAAAACGGCGACGCGGCATCTTTAATATAATTACAAAGTTAATTAAATGTAAATTCATAATTAATATGTTTATTTAATTTGCTGCCTTCTCTTTTAACTGGACAGGTGCTCACCTTTCTGATAGACTCGTCGCGTTTTCGTTATCCGGAGCGTGCGATTGTCTTTCTGGCCGTTTGCTATCTGGTCGTCGGCTGTGCCTATGTGGCCGGACTTGGTGCGGGCGATTCAGTGTCGTGCCGTGAACCATTTCCGCCGCCAGTGAAGCTGGGACGCCTGCAGATGATGTCCACCATAACGCAGGTAAGTCAAGCCAAAGTTCGAGCCGCGGTGGAGCAGGTGAAACGAATTCCATTTTTTATTTACCAACATCCTTCTCGGCACTCTCATTCTCTCGCAGGGTCATCGTCAGACCACCGCCTGCACCGTATTATTCATGGCATTGTATTTCTGTTGTATGGCCGCCTTTGCGTGGTGGTCGTGTTTGGCCTTTGCGTGGTTCCTGGCCGCTGGACTCAAATGGGGCCACGAGGCAATTGAAAATAAATCTCATTTATTCCATTTGGTTGCCTGGGCGGTGCCCGCACTACAAACGATATCCGTTTTGGCACTGGCTAAAGTTGAAGGTAAGTACGCAATCCATTGGCTTATTAATAATAACAAGCGGCATACAGATACAGGAAGTGAGAAAGAGAGACCGATAGAGCTGCCAACATTGAACTTTAGCTTGGGACCCCACTTGAGGCATATTATAAATAACCAGCACTTAATAGATACACAAACTAACCGAGCCCAAAGGCCTCTGTCTCCGGCTTGAGCCGCAGTCTCAGCCGCAGCAGCCGCCGGTGCTCGTCATGTAAGACGAAACCGTCATTAGACATCATTTTGTGGCATTAACTGTATCTATTTCGATGCTGCAAAGCCCAAAACAAGCCCAACGAACCTTAACAGCAAGGCAACAGTGGTCAACAATTTACACATTTTGAACAAAATTTAAGAACTTGAATTTGAGCAGGTTTCAAATGAAAAGTTAGTAAAGCTGAACAAATTATTCTATGTAAACTCTTATTCGAAAGATGAACCTGAGCCGTAGGCCATAAAAAATTAAAATCGCAATTTTTATTTCCAAATATTCCAAATATTCCAAATTCCAAGGAAACTCTTTGTATTTGTGCGAAAAATAAAGAGTTCTTTGCCCATTGTTTCCTTTAAGCAGACGGTGCGTGCCGCCAGTTTCACAGTCATTTTGTGGTTCATTTAAAAACGGACCGAGCCGTGCTGCCGCCGGAAAGTTGATGTCCGCGATTTCTAAGCAATTTAATGACCTACGTGGTCGAAAGCCGACACGAAATAAATCTTTGCCAAGAAATGTAAAACAAAATGGTTGCTAAAATGGTCACGTTAAAGTGCCGTAAAAAAAAAGAGAAGAAAACAGAGTACTCTGTATATTTCCCTTTTTATACTCTTTATTTGAGCTTAATTTTTGGGTCAAAGAACACGCAACGAGCACAAATCTCGGGCAGCTACCGAAGCAAATTCGTTTTGCTGCTCAGCTCTGGAGTTACATATTTTGGATTTTTTTTAATGTATTTTACTTTTCGTGGATAGCCGCTCACATTTTTGAGCTTAATTAGATTGCGGCTTAATGACTCAATTGTGTTTGGCATTATGGCGCATTAGAATTTCGCCAGCTGAGAAGATGGCTTTGCGGATGCTGGGGCTGATGTCCGCCTACTGTTAAACACACACACACTCACATGCAGTCTCCGCACCCGCAGTAATTTCTAATGCGATTGCGAATTTTGGGCAGTAATTAAATACAGCACCACATGATTATGGCTTGTTAGGCAAATCCAATGAAAGTGGAGAGCACTCGCCTCGACTGCTTCTGGGTGGCCACTTACGATTCTCCATATATATTGAACATTAACAGGCCGTTGTAAATGTCGAATGTAAAGTGAGAGGCTGGGCACGGGCTTAACAACGGATAATAGCTGTCGATGTTGATGGAATTAGCAAGTGGCTGAAACTAGTCGTAAAGCTGAATTAGAGTGGGGCGGTCATTGTTAAAGCCAAATTCTGAGTTGGCTTCTGTCTTATGGCTTTTGCTTGAAAGAATATGTTAAATGCTAATAATGTTCAGGTTGTTGTAGCTAGACAAACAGAAACTATGAAAGAGGCATAGAAACGACTTAAGTTAGGCAACATTTCTTTTTCAGTATCTTCCGATCTCTACAACGTTGAAATAATATATGGTTACTAACTTTTATTATTTACATGGGGAGTATAATGATGAGATAGTCAAGACGAAAGGGATTGAGGACATTGGCTTGTAACAATGTAGGGTATTTTAATGACTCGACTCGCAAGTAGATCGTTAAGTTTTAACCTTTGAAGGCGCCTCTCTGTGATGGGGTCAATCTGAACCTTGGTATAAAAGAGTATGGTTTTTATCCAAGCCCTTTTATTAATGTTATGCTACATTTTGCTGATTATTATTAAAATGTACTTTATATAGTTGAGAGTCTCTACTCTCTCTTGAATGAAATATACAAATATTTGATATTGTTTGTTTTTTCAATAATTTTTTGATTGTTTGTCATATTTGAGTGTGATATTTTCCCAACTCTGTGGCGCACACGCGCTCTGAACATGTCTTCAAACGAGCTCATCGCAATTTCGCAAGTGCTGTGCAAACACAATCAAATATTTCCACTTAAACAGGCCTTTGGTAAGGCCCCCATCCAAAGCCCAGACCCACCATTGCAGACACTTCGCTAATGCATGCAAAATGGCAAAGCCATAAAAACATATTTTTCCCCAACGCACGGCTATATAATAAAAGATGGAAAACATTAACAACCAGCCGAAACGATTTATGAAAATCTTTTCCACTGCTTACCCCCCCCACCAAAAAAAAAGGAGGAAAAACGATGACTTAATGCACTGTGCACAGTGGAACAAGGAGACAACGAGGCAATGTCTTGGGCACTCCTCAAAAAAAGAGAGAGGGAGACACTTTTTAACGGTAAAAGGCAAAGGCAGCCCATTCAGAAACCATTCGGCGACAATTAATGTTAAATTTAAAAATACATTATTTTAATGTGTCGTCAGCTGGTTGAGAGCTGTTGCTGCCGCTGCTGCTGCTGCTGCTGCCGGTCTGAGGCGACGATGATGGCGGCGACGTTCCGTAAACATGGCCAGGCGGCAGCTCCAAGCTGCCATCTTCCAGCTCCCGGCTTCCAACTTTGTCTAAAGCCTCGCCGCCGTTGGCTACGTGCATTGAATTTGTAATTTGTGCACGTTCGCAGCAAACATTGAATAATGCTCACAGATACGAATAGTCTGCCCTGCCCTGCCCTGCCCTGCCCAGACGAGCCCAGCCCGTTTCCCCTACACCGAACCGCCCGCCGCTCCACAACTCTTGCAAGCACTTTTCGCTAAGTAAATAAACGTTAGCGACAGATCCTCGACAAGGGGAAGAGGCGATGTATCGGAAAGGGGTGCGCGAGGCTCTTGTGGAAACATCAATTTGTATTGACTGTGCAACGCGTTGGCAGCTCATTTGATGGATTTCCCTTTTTGGTCCAATAGGAGCCTATGAATCACCTGCATAAATGTATTCTCTGTGCTTAGACAGGGATTTCAATGCAAAAGGCAAATATTTAATTTATGCTAAATGCCTGGGCAGCAAACCGTTGGGTGTCCGTGTGTATGTCCGTGTGTGTGGCATATCAAATAGTGTGCGATAATGCCCCAGGCTTTATTACACCAAATTCTATTCAAAACGCGATTGAAATGAAGGTTTTGATGTAATTTGGTCATGAACTTAAATTTTCAACAGGATCAGTAGAGAATGAGTAGAATGATTTATAGGCTATATTTGGTAAATCATTTAAATATTTTTAAATATATATAATATTGATGTAAGCGTGATTAACAATTAGCCTGGAAGTTATTTCAATTTAATTTTGTGGTTTATTTCATACTATTTTGGTTTGCGTTAAAATGCTTTAAAAAATGAAATATGAATCCATCTCTGACATAAAAATATGTAAATTAACAAAAAGACGCAGAGACGAATGGCTGTGACTGAGACGACGTAGTCAGAAAAGTGGAGGAAACAGTTGAGAGAAATGAAAATTAACAATTTGTTGCGCTTTTGCAATTTATATGGCGCAAGTTGTAAGTCGCAAGACAAAGTCGTGTTCCAGTTTCAGTTGTCTCTTTAGCAGCGCTTATGATACTCTGTTGCAAAAGTCTAAAGGGGTCTACTCGCCATAAAGTAAGCATAAAGCATAATCTATAAAGCTGACTTTCATAAAAATAGGGTATGTTCTGGTTCTAGTAACTAGTTCTTTTACTTGTACGTTTTCCTTCATTTGTCAAACTATTATCGTAGACCAAAAGCAGGAGAGAAAGGCAAAGTGAGACAGAGAGAGGAAAAAATAATAGAACCGACGACCAGCTATGGAATTAACATAATTTATCCAGGGCCTGGAGTTGTGTGGGGCTTGTGGGACTTGGGTAGCTGGCATTGCATTAGATGGCATTTGGCATCGAGCACAAATAGCCAAGCAGCTCAGCGACTTATCGAGTGGCACATAAAAAATTGCGTATGAATGATTTATGATGTGGTGCGAGAGGAAGAAGAACTCAGACCGAAGTCTCAAGATCAGCTGCATTAATGCATTTCATCACCAGAAGCTGTTAGGCGAGCACTTTGTATACGGAAAATGCCTTGAAAGAGGGTAACATTATCCTGCATCCTTGCCTGAAGCCTTAATAAGAAAAATAAGAGTAAATATCATCTAATTGGAAAAGAAGAAATTTCTCAAACGTTTTCCAGGCAATTTAGCCATGTAATCTCAGAACGATAGAAATGTGACACATAGCATATGAATGAATTTAGCAACGAAAAAAAGAAAGCGAATTAAATAAAATGCCAAGCAAATTTCACAGTGAGACCTCGACACACATGGCATGCAGGTCACATACACGACCAGTTCACAAAACAGATGAGCGAGAACCTTCTCAAACTGCGAGGAATTTCTGACTGAAAATAAAATGATATGAAAATAATAAGGTATGAGTAGTCGAAGGAATGAATACCCAACACTTTTTGAACTTGAACATGATGAATTGATTATAAAGGACAATTGAAATGAAATATATATATTTAAAAAACATATACATATATGAAGAACAAGTTATTTCAGGGCTGGACATATTCTGATTGGATTGAGCTTTCCTATTATTGTCATAGTATATAGTATATTTTATAATTTTATACAATTATGTTGATCTGTGAATTTTTCCCTTTATGTATCTGCTCAATTCCAATGTGAACATATAAAACATACAAGGATTTCGTCATGATTTTCAGTGTTGACTATTTTTCTAAATTTCAAACTTCAAAAGCGCATTCTGTAGAGCAAAAGTAAAACTCAAAATTCAAACAAAGGGCAAAAGTAACCAAGTTGCCAACAAGTGTTGACCAACTGGCTGGACAACAGCGACAACAACAACAACAGCAACAGCAACAATTGCTGCAACATCAGCTAAAAGCGGCAGCAACAATATGCGTCGTGGCATGCGGCAAAAGTTGCGCGCACTTTGACGCGTAAAACCGGTAGCAAAAATGGCTGCCAACGATTGCGGCGATGGCGACAACAAAAAGCGTGAAGCGTGCGTGAGTCGCCAAGCAGCAGCGGGAACAACAGCAGCAACAGCAGCAGATACGCACTTAGAGATACAGCGTTGTGTTGTAGCTACACTTGACTACATGTGGTACACACGGCTGGATGTTGCGATTGGCGCGGTTACTGTTCAGTTTCAGCTTTCAAAGCAACTTGTTGTTGTTGTCATGACTGCGACAGCTGCGTTGAGTTGCCGCTCAGCCAGACGTTGACATTGTTGTTAGCCATATCTTTGATTACATTTACAATTTGGCGCTTGTCTAACTCTCGACTGTCGGCTATGCAAACTAGGCCATGACACATGAAACGCTGTGAAAAGGAAAGTGATTTCCTCATATGTATATATCTTTAATTACATTTCTTGAGGTTTTCGAAATTTAAATTTAATTTAAAACAGTAAGTGCATCTACAATTCGCGCACACTGTTGTGTTTTCTAGCTTCAAATGTTGTATGGCTTTTTTATTTGCACGCTTGTGCGGCTTCTGTTTCTACATTTTTTTTTTGTCTTGGCATTGTTTTCTGTGCAGATTATTTGTTTGATTATATTTTCATATGTTATTTAAGCACAAGCAATGAGTCTGACAGCTGGCAGTACTACGTGCTGCATTAGGTTACAAAAAAATGTTGCCAAATTGTGTAAAAAATATCCAATCTCCCCATTTTGGGAGAAAGTAACTTAATTACCGACAAATCAAAATTTACATTTTCTTATATTATTAATATAATTATGTGGCTATTAGATTTTTATAGTAGGCTATTTAAGCGTAAGCTAAATTCATTTCAACACGTTTGCTATAGGGTATCTGCCCGTCACTCCCCTTTTAAGCTCTCACTTTCCTCTTAGCTGTAAGTAATTTTACTTTATTGCAACATTGTTTATTTTAGTTTTTGTTGCTGTATTCTCGACAATGCAATGTTAACACCTTAAAATTCCTGAATTTGGTTTGCCAACGCTTGGAGTATTTTGCCAAACTGAAAGATTAACCCTTGATTGGATATTGCGCGTTTGAACGTTATTCATAATTATATAGAACAGAAATAAATTTCGAATAGCGGTTGAGATCATTAGCGACTCAAGATGTCGGCACTGGTTGTCCACTAATTAGTGGCAATTAAAATCATTAATTCAAATTAATATAATTTTAAAAATAACATCAGACTTGGCCAAATGACAGAAAGGTTGTTTTTCGCGTTACGCTTCTTACGCGCCCCAAAGGCAAGTATCCCAACCGTAAGCTGCGACCCGGGCGGGCAGAGGCCAATGACCAGAGGGAAACAATGGCACAAAGTGTGAAAAGCAATGTTAATGATGCTAGATCTAAGAACCCGGACAGAGACTAATGAATGTGTTGCAGGTTTCAGAAACAAGTTGTAAGTGTCTTGAAAAAAAAATGACTCAAATTTAAGGGTAAACAGCCGCAAATGATAAATATTTTCTTGCCAAAATGTAAAGGTGCTGAAATATGGTAAACACAAGAGGTTCTGTTGAAATTTTGATTAGGATTAGCTGGAAATTTTACACATATATATTTTTCGATAGGCTTGAGTTCAGTTATTTAAATGCTTGTCTCCAAGTATGCTTCGGATTTTAAAATTTAAATATATCTCTCTCCTTGCTACAATTCGAATAGAATCGCGCACTAAAGTCACATAACGGCTTGCTAAAATTTTCTTTTTTTTTTCGCAAATTATTGCCACATTTTGGCATTTGTCTACCATAGCCGAGGCTTATCGGCCTGCTGCTTGGTGGCGCATACCGCTGTGCTGTTTATTTCTAATATCCTGCCGCCGCTGGCGACAATAAACACGCCCACATTGAATGGTTTTCTGAGCATCTCACATAAAGCCCATAAAGCGCAGCGGTTGTTGCTGTCATTAAAATCTCTTCTCTTTTTTCTTCTTGGCAACTTACGTTGGCAGGTTTATACTCGTATCGAGCATCGGGCATATCCTTCGATATGGGCCCTGTTGTGGGCAATTCCAGCGCTTCCTGCGGCGCTGCCAGCACCTTTAACCCCGGACAGACTCAACCACCCAGCACTTATCAGACATTGAAAAGGCTTTTTGCCCAGAAAACTTCTCCCCTTTGTCTAATTTGATAAAATGAAGACGAAAACGAATCTTTGCCATTTTTTTGTTTGCCGCTTCGTACATTCGCGCTCGTTTTGGGCGTGTAAATTGCCTCTTTCTTGTGGATAGGGGCGTGGCAGGTTCTATTCTGTAAAGTGCTAAAATTGCTGGCGGGCAAGGATTTCTGTTTTCGCCGAAAACAAAAGGAAAATCCACTCGATTTCAATTGTGCTAAAGAAAAAAAATAAGAACTCTTGTTAATTACGTGGTCCATAACTTTTTTGCTTTCTCTTCATATTGTCGAATGCAGTCGCCGCGTGGGTTTCATTATTAGTTTTCGAGTGGAGTACAAGCTCAGAACTCAGGACTTTGGTATCGCTTTTGTTTAACCCCAGTGCGTCCAAATTTATTGGCACAATTTCAAAAAACGAGCAAACTTTTTGCCACGCCAACACCTTTCACATGTTTTTGGCATGAAAAAGCGTTAAAAGTTTTTCGCCTGGCATTTTTGCATGACGTGTTGTTCTTCTTGTTGCTGAAACTGCGTCCTGTCTGCCTCTCGCTTTCTGTGCAGCACAAAAGGTAATGGGTTAATTAAGGTTTTTGCTAGCCAGGTTGCTAGCGCTGCCAGCATAGTGGGTTAATTAAGTGGCATGAAATTTAATAACAAAAAAATTGCAACTAAATTGATTAAAAATTGCAAGCCAACAGATGACGAGTACTCGAAGCCAAGCCCAGCAGTGGCTATGACGTTGACATTTTGAATGAAAGAGAGGTTAAGCCAAGGCTTAAACGAGGTTAAGGTAAGGTTGCCAGACTGTCCATGAAAGGAAATAGTTAGTGTTGCATAATGCACGACAAACACACAAGCAAAAGTGGTTGAACGAAAATGGGTTAGGCCTCAGTTTGAGGTAAGATTAAAGTTTAGTTGAGGTTAACATGAAGTGCCCTTTGCATAGTTTTCATTTTTGATTAACTTTTTCTATTGGGAAAGATTTCCTCATTGAGTTGATTGGAACTATTTTCTGAAATTTGAATTAAAGTTAAGCATAGGCAACTGCTCAAACATTTAGATAAAAGCTTCTATTCAATTTGCCATGCTAGCATATCAAATAAAGCTAAAAGGATTTTCTTAAAATAATTTTCTTTCTATATTCCGTTTTTGTTTTCTTTTATTTCGAGTTCTTTTAAAACTGACAGCTTTTGTCGAATTCGTTTTCCCCGTGGCTAGCCAATGACCGGCGCCAAATTATGTACAACATCCGACAATTGTGGATAAGCGATAGCTTCTAACCGATACCATATCATGGCATACTTATAAACGCATCAAGAAACTTGGCAAAAAGAGAAGAAGAAATCATTGGTTATTGTTAATTTATTTCCTTTTTGGCTTTAGAATTTTTTATTGACTTGCTTTGCACGCTCGGTACTTTGGCGGACTGTGCAGACCGTCCGGACTCTACGGATGTGGCATTTCCGGTGCCATGTGCCGCACACACGACCCAGCGACTATCGACTGGCAGCACCCGCAACCCAAAGCATGGGGGCATTGACCATAAATGGCATCAGGAGAAAGACACAATACGCACACCAACACGGCACAGTAGACACTCCGCCTGCAAGGGAACAGGATCGGGCAATAACAAAGCGACGACACATTTAGGGCACTTTTAAGCGCCTTGGCCGTTTCTTGTAATGAACTTTTATTTGCATTGTGCAAAGGGTGCGGCTCGGGGGTTAGGCGTGGATACAGCTGCAGACAAGTGTGCCACATTCTTGTTCAACTCAACCATAAGTCGATACACTTGCCGCCCATTTCAATTCATTCATTTATCCCATAAAGCGAACGGCCCCCATGTGTCGACAACGGCAGACCAAGAAGTCCTCGACTTAGTCTCTGGCGTGGGCGAGTGCGGCAGCACCCCCAAATCGATTTATGGGCATTTCCGGGTTGAAATCACTTAAAAGAACTGAAACGGGGTAGGCTGCTTGTTAACTCCTCAGTGAGTGCAGCCTTTTGTCCTCGGGGTTTATATTTTGCCCCCTTCGGATGGTATTCATTTGTACGTCTATTCGTATTTGCTTTTCCCCTCTCTCTCTCTCTCCATATATAAATATATCGCTCTCTTTTAGATTTCAGTTTTGTGTGTGCAAAAATTTTGCACAAATTTGTAAGCTTTATGAAATAAATATTGCTGGGACGCATTTTAAGAAGGGGACCCCTTGACTTGACTTTGGCGCTTGTTTTGAGACGCTTTTGAATCGCAATCTACTTAGGACACAATGATTTCTGATGCTTTTCAAACGGTTCTCTGTCTGGTGGTTTGTTTTTCGGTTGAGTCATCTATAGTTCTTCGTAAATGTTGTTATTTTTGTGCACTGATTGTGTTATTGTCATCGGACTAATGGAAATTGCACTCATGGGCTGGCCAGAATCAATAATTGCGTAAGACTCACCCTTAACATTTTCTTTGATCGCTTGCCTTTAACTTGCTTCAGTTGTGGGCTGGACTTACTAATTTCTTCAAAATGGGTGTTCGAAAAAATTCAAATATTCATCTCATGTCATGTTATACTTTAATGTCAACTCAAAAAGTTCTAAATGAATAAAAATAATCTGGGTTTGGGATTCATGTTTTCCCCTGTAAAATTGAAAGGGCTTTATTTAAAAATAAATGTTTATTTAATAATTTGTATTTAATTTATTAAAAAATAATGTAACCGAAAATCTTCGGTATAAAATGTTCATTAATTGTAATACTTTCTCTTCTCTTGTCATATTGTTGTCCGTATCCTAATTATATATAGCTTTTAGGGTAGCACATAGTCCAAACTTTTATTGGCTTTGTAGCAGTTAGTCATGTTGCAGCCTGAAGTGCTTTCGTCTACTAAAAACCCATTAAATACTTTGTATTTAACTCAAGTGCTCTACAAATATGCACACAAAAATTCTACGCATAGCACCAAAAAAAAAAAAAAAAGAAGTATTTTTAATAACCGCTCAGACGGGACTGCTGCCCACTTTTTCGGCATGCCGATGTTGGCCTTATAATTTTGATGACTCTGGGCGGGCGGTCGTCATGTTTACACTTTCAATAAAAATCTACTCTAGTTTAATGTGCTGGACATGCCCGAGGGAGGGGCTAGCTGCCCCTATGCCATTCCCAACGGCAAATGTGTCCGGCGAGCTTTAGCCACAATTATGGCCTTTAACCCTTTTGTCAACAACTTGAGTTTATTTGGACTTTATATGCACATGGTGGGGTTGCAGTTGTCGGGTGATGCTGTCTGGCTTTTAGCTGATGCTGGCCAAAAAATGCCTTTGAGCATTGTCATAAGCGGGTTTTCGCAAGCATTCCGGTCCCTCCGACACGCCTCGTCTGGCCGGCATAATAATTTTATATGGTTTTTGGCTGCATTTTTGCATAGTCAGGACGGGATGCTATGGCAGAAGGACGGTCAGCTTTGAATTTTGTACGCTTTGTTGCAGAGTGTCGAGTCTGTCTGCCGACTGTCCCAAATGCATAGAAAATTTGCAGTGATTTTTGTGATTTTTGTTCGTGAGTCATGTCAAAATGCCCCAAAATACTTTAAGGTTCTACCATGAGCCTTTCAATTAACCCCGGAACATATATGCATATATATTTATACACATTTATTTATTTGGTTTCGTCTTGTTTGGCTTTGCATTTTACTGTTGACATTTCATTATGCGTTGAAAATTGCTCACCCTGTCAGCAGGCATGGCATTTGGGGGTTGCAATTTTGCGTATTTTGCCAGCACACGTCATAAAAATAATAATAATAATAATATTTGGATTTGATTTTGCCTGGAAATCGACAAACCCAACAACCCCCGACGCGTGTTTATAATTTACGATAATTGCGCTGACTTGTGGCATTTTCAATTAATTTGAATCTAGGGGTCCCCGGATTCCAATCCTGCGCAACAGCAACAATAACAACTTTTTCAACAGTTGTCGGTGTATTAATTAATAAGCCATATTTATGTAAGGGCACAGATTGTTGCTAGAAGGGAGGGGGAGGGCATAGGCTGGACTTTTCGTATGTACAAAAGGCGGTTGTCGATTGGATTCCTCCGGTGATTTATTTGATTTTGGGCATTTGTTACTTATAATTGGTTGAAGTACAGAGCTGCTCGCCATTAGCCTAAGGACTTTGACAATTGAGCAGCTGCCAAGAGCTCTTTAGCTGATTGCTTAATTAAAGGTTAATTATTCAAATTTAATTTAATTATGCCAATAATATAGAATTAGCTTGATATATACAGGTGATAGTAGTGTAGTACTAATGAGGTTTCCTTAGAAGCCAGTTGATCTCTTTTATTTATTCCCCCTGCTGATTATCTATTTATTTTCCTTGAGCTGTTGACTATTCCTTTTTTTGTTTAAGCTCCTAGAAAAACTCAATTACCCAATTCGATTTCGCTCACTTTTGGGCTAATAAACAACCTTGGCATTGGCTACAAAACTTTGTCAAGTACTTTAGCAGAGTTCCATAAAATCAAATTTATGCATTACCTGCATTCCGCAACAGCCATTTCCCATGGCTCAGATATTATCGCCTGACGCTGCGCCCCTGGGGAGCTCACACTTTAAATAGGCATTAAATTGATACAGCAAGCAAAAAGTTTTCCATTTTTTCTTCGCCTCCCCACTTTTTCCAGTTTACCCACAGCGCGTGCTGCAACCCTCCCAACGGAGTTTGCCATCGCGCCACACAGTCTAATCGCTTTATAACTTCTAACGCAGTTTATCTGCGCCGCCGCCCCCGCCCCTGCCTCCACCACCTGCACCAGCATTCGAAGGGTTCAGTCGGAAAAGTTATTGTTAAGTCTACGAAAACGTCGCTTGCACGCACTAAGCGCTTGATATGACAACGCCCTCGCCTATCCGTCCCCGCTTCACGCTTCGCACAGCTCTAACCGACACTGGCGAATGGGAAATCTCCATACAAAGCACTCACTCTATCTAGTGTATTTCACTTTGCTCTGCTTTTTTCGCACTTTTCGCGACGGTCTTTTAATATTTACAGTATTTCCAGCATATCTGGCAGTCTGTCTGTCTGTCTGGCGGTCCCTTTGTCCAGACCCTGGTATGCAGGCGGAAATTATTGTCGGCGGCTTCTTGCATTTAGTTTTTCTGGTCTTCTTTTTTTTTGCATCTTTCAGATGCCAAAACTTTGCGATGCCGCTATACAAAAAGTTGCTACACTTTGTGGCATGTTTTCCATTTTTTTCTTTTTTACTTGCTTCGCTTGCGTTTTCCATAAGTTTTGTCGGAGCTTTATTCGTTTTTCTTGTGTCTGCCTTGCGGAAAAAGCGTAAACAGATTTATTTATTTATTTACCGCGATTAGTTGGCATCGTTTTTGTGTCCATTGTGAATGACTATTCTATGGCGGGAAGTACCTAAAGCCGAATCGAGTTACTCACCTGTAACAAAGATTAGCCCAACCCCCAACAAGATAACAACTGTGTTTTAATCTTTACAACTCAATATAACATATTGAGTGAGTCACACTGATGCACAATATGCGAAGTACCCAACGATAAGATAACGTTTCTTGTACATTACCTGAAATTGTTATCTGCCAAGCGAAATTGCCAGCTCTTACTAAGTATATATTGGCAATTAGTGCCAACTGTGGCACAGTACAATTGCTCCACTCGAGGAATTAAGAGCTCCAGTCAAAAAGGATTAAAAGGAAAATATAGTTCAGCAATGCCGCCACCACATCACGACGATCGTCTCTTTGGCATCCATTTGGGCCTGCATTTGGGACACCATCATCATCACCATGGACACCATGGCCACCACGGACCACCGCCGCCGCCCCATCACCATCATCATCATCATGGACCACCGCCGCCACCGCATTACGATCATCATCACCATCACCATCATCACGGCCCACCGCCGCACCATGGACACCATGATTACCACCACGGACATGTTGACCACCATCACCACCACCATGGACCCCCACATCATCACTGCTAAGTGTCAAAACTGAGGAATAGATCGGAAGAGGAACTTTACGATCTATGTGTGAAGTGAATTTAAATAGTTATGTATATACCACGCAAAAAAATATATATAAATAATAAAATATAAAAAAAAATTACTAAATTAAAGATCTGCCTTTATTTTTAAGTTAATAAACTCTCAAAATTATCAAACACCTTTTAGTTGTAGCAAAATTAGTTGTTTTGTATTCGCAACAATTGTGAAATTGAAACTGAGTAAAACTTATAGATAGAAAATGACGCATTTAGAAAAATACGTGGTATCTTATCATTTATTTGCCAGCAAAACATTATACTTAAATAAACACTTCAAAATAATGACTTGAGTGCTGCATCCACCCCAAACTTAGGCCATGTTTGCGCGTGCTTGTGCGTGTGTGGTTTTCTATTAGATAAATTATTAATCTCTTAACCAGCCCAACAATAAACAGCGATGCGAATTAGCCACAGTGACAATTCAATTAGGTGGACCGCGCTCTAAGCCCCACGTAACTAAACGCACTTTGCGCATAAATATAAATGCAATTAAATATCGATGGCCCATGCAAATATTGGCCAATTACAAGCCATTAGAACTGTTTGTCACAAAACGCTAATTAGCTGCAGCTACAAAATGTGTAATTTACCTTTTTTTTTGTCTGCTAGGAAATGGAGTGGCGGGCTGGGGAGCGACTGTCATAAAATGCAAAGTGTTGCCAATCGCGTGGGACGTTGATTCGACACCTGGAAATATTGGTAATTAAAATTCGCCAGTTGGCCAGCTTGGCCGTCTAGTCGTTTGCCACTGACGTTGTCTAATAATGTTGTAAAACATGTTGCCGTTAAATAAACCGACAGACGGTCGAAAACTACGCCCCGAAGGCAACAGCAGGCGTTAAATTTTATAGTCTTTATTGACAGCCAAAACAAAAAATAGAAGAAAACTAGAAATAGTATACAAATTTACAATATGCGTACTGCACTATGCCACGCTTTTAATCGAAACTCTTGACGACAGGCCCGACTAATGGAATCGGTAGCATTTCTCAATCTGTCTGCCTGTCAATTAAATATGAAAATTGTTTTCGACCAACCCATAAACTCAACTGGGCAACTCGTATCGATGCATTTTTGACAATTTCGTCGCCGGCGACAGGCCTCAAATTGACGGCTACGAAAGTGAAACCCGTCATAGACACACTTAACACTCACACACACACACACACACCGGTCTCTGTGTATACCCATAAACAATTAACGTCTCAATTCATAATTGTCATTATATTTTGTAGTCTGCATTTGTCGCTCTTAATTAAAAAACTTATATTATTTCACATGGCCACAAATGGAGTTCAAACCCGAGGCAAAGTAAACGAGCTTTTTGCCTATCTGAATTGTTATTTGTATTTAATTATACAACAATAAGAAACGCCAAAAATAACAACAGCAGGCAGTTTATAAATAAGAGTGGCCATATAGGAACACGCAATGAGGTTTTTTTTGTTATTAATACGTTTTTTTCAAAGTAGCAAAAATTGAATGTGTTCGCGGGGAACATGATGCATGAGTAGATTGTGCGAGGCTTTTTAGATAGACTTTCTTATCGCAAGCTACGGGTAACAAGTTGGCCATATGACAAGTATTTTATGCTTGTTGTGGCACACTTTGGCAGCTGCGTTTGATATGTTATATACAGTCATGTCCAAAATAAGAGGTATGCATTGCAGTATTGTTAAAAAAAAATAATGAAGAAACATGCGCAAGGTTTTTTATAGCAATACTTTGGTGAACTTAGTTTACAACAGAAAAAGTCAGTAACAGAGCAGGGGCATGCCCGACTAGGGGATACCCCGAACCTTCTACCAACACGAAATCCATTTTAAGCGATTGCTTGGTAAGTGAACAAGTTATCGGAAACAACCATGTTTTGCGCGGGTACAGACCGACAGATGGACAGTTAGACAGGCATGGCTAGATCGGCTCGTCTATTTATGTTAAACAATTCTTTGGGGTTGGAGAAGTTTCCTTCTGCCTGTTACATATATGTGCATACAACTATTTTCAATAGGTTCCGGTCATAAAAATATATCTATCTAACGTAAAGACAATCGAGTCTTTCGTCCATTGTTTTTAAACTATTTGAGTATAAATTTTTTTAAAAAATTGAAATTGAAATATATATATTAACAAATTAAAATTATCGTATCTCGTATATGTAACTAATATAAACTTTTCTCTCTCATTCCAGGTATGTTATACGTGATAACGACTGTAAAACAACTATTATAGTTATATCAGGGAATAAGAATCATAATTCTCTGAATTAAAGAGAGCACGTAAGCTTTAATCCAATAAGTTCCATAACGCAATGAAAGCGTCTTTATCTATTATCGAATACATGACTTTGGCTGTATGCAATGCCATCATTAGGTTAATAATGCCGCCACATTACAATCAAACTCAAGAGCAATTTCAAGAATTCAACTCACATACGCCATTATGACATTTGACCATCTGCGATTACATAAAACAATTTAATAAACCCATGAAAAATCAAAAATGCGATAAGTGCGCTTCCAACATAGGCCATGAAAACTCCAACTCAAACTCCAACTGAAACTCAAACTCAAGACGTTCGCTCCTACACACATGTGGCAATAAAAATTCCTTAAATAAACATACAAGGCGAGTTGAGCTAGAAAGGGGCGTGGGCAGTGAGGGGAACACAGAGAGACAAAAGCCATATCAAGTACGCGTGCTCGCAACTATCTGGCCAATGTAATCAGCCAAGAGCTGAGACCAAACCAAAGATCCCAGACTTGAGACTCCAAAGCAGCAGCCACTGCCGCAGCCGCAGCCGCAGCCGCAGCCGCAGCCGCGTAATGTCGCTTGTTAGTACTAATGATGGGTAACTTTCCGACCTCTTTGCTTCTTGTGCCCCCATACGCCAGCAGATGCTGCCTTTAATATACATATGTTGTTTCACCAACGATATTTAGATACTCTATTGGAAAAAAAAAAACAAAAACAGAACAGCCTTTATGATAAAGTAGCTTTATTGGATCAAAAGTTGAAGCAATTTTATTTGCAATGTCACTCGCTTTTGTTACAATATACCTTTTGTTCAACTGACAGTTCTTAAAGTAGCTAAGCCTAATAATATGATAAGGTCGATTCCCAATTCCGTTGCTTGAGATACTCATTAAACCCTTTTGCAAGGGTAAAAACTGTCCGAGTCCATAAACCAAGACGTAGCTTTAATAATTACATTGGGCATTTCAAGTAAAAAGAAAACTGTCAGTGCCAGGCTAGCTGGCTGCATTACAAAGTGATTAAGCCCAATTGGAGTGTAGTGCATGCGAACGCAAAATAAATTTGTACAGCTGCGATAGAAGCGGCGCGATATGACTCCAAATGTGCCCAGGCACAACGATGGCGATGGCGATGGCGTTGTCCATTCCGCATGTATGTCATAAATTGCCATGGAAGCGCAGCGGCCAACAACAAGTTTTGGGAACTTGGGGCGCGCATACGACCAGGCTGTGCTCGGGCCAGGTTCAGGTCCAGGTCCAGGTCCAAGTCCAGGCAGTTGTGTCTAAGCAGTAAAAATTAATAGCTAGCATAATAAGCGGCATTTTATGACAAGCGTGCACCTTAACGCAGCAGTTAACCACGCCTCGAAGCCCGCACCCTGCCAACCACCCAACCAGATGCTCACCCCTCCGCCAATGATTCCTCATGGCATCAGGGTTCAGGTGAGGGATCAGTTGAACGCGCTTTGCTGTAGTCACTTGAAAATTACGCAAATTGAAAGTTACATCGCTTGGACTGGTGACGCGGATGACCGAAATGGGCATTAGGCCACTCAACCAGCCAGCCGGCCAGCTAGCCAACTAGCCAGCCAGTTAGCCAGGCAGCATGAGGTGACCAGTTGCCGGCTGCCCCCCAAATTCCGTCTGTGTTTCCAGCGCACAAGTTATGAGCTTCATATTGGCGCTACAAGATTCCGCTTTATGATAATTACACGCCGTCCCAGCGCCGCTTTATTTATATGCATTGGGCTATGTGTGAGCAGGAGCAGAAGCTTTGGAAAATTGAAAAACTTTGCTCCGTGTGTGTGCGTGTGTGTGTGTGCGTGTATGGAAAATATATGGTCGATTATGTAAGAGCTTATGGTAGTATATCGTTATTGAGGCGGTTTGCTCGTATTATATAAACGAGCTAATAGCTTTTAGAGTTTAATTGAAATGACAATTGCGGCTGGGGGAAAAGGCAACAAGTGCTTATAAATGAACCAAAAGAATGATTATAAATAGCTCATTCAGCTAACGGCTGAACCAAATATTTTGGCACACTTTATAAGAGTTGAATAATGGGATTATCCGACATATGTGAGATATGTGCCCTTTTGGGCGGGCTTGTGGGACTCTTTTATGGATGTTTACATTAACCTGGGCTCATTGCCATACCTAACTGTAGACCTAACCTTAAAAATAGTTCATTATAAAAATGAAAGAATCTAACGGTTTTGAGCTGTGAGAAAACTCCAAATCTTCTCACACTAACGAACCATAAACCGAATTTGACCCAAGCACATACCATGTATGGTACCTTTGCCAAAGGTATTCCAATTTAAAAATTTACAACACTCAGCAGACAACTCAGGGCTGTGTCTTCACCTAGAGAGAGAGTGAGAGAGAGAGAGAGTAAAGAAGAGGGAGTGAAAGAGAGATATAGCCATAAACTAAGTCACTTCATATTCGTTAAGACCTTACAACAGCCTACGCTGTACTAAAAAAAAAAGCCAAACCACATATCCATAAACTCACTTTTTATGGGACACTATAACCTAGCCAGAAAAGTAGTTAAAAAATAAAAATCAAATACCAAGCACAAAATTTCGATTTGAAACCAAATATAGTGCATTCATAAAAATGATTAAGTGATAACTTCATAGGGCAATATGGTAATATGCTCAGTAACAAATCGATGGATGCTCAACTT